GCAAGAGGAAGCTTCCTGGCGTACCAGTGTGGCTTCTATAGTAAAAGCAGACAAAGCAGGGACTTCCACAGTGACGTGTACCAGTAGAAGGAGAGAGGCAAGTAGTTAGAGCAGGAGGAAGAGAAAATAGCTAGAGAGGTGCAAGGTCTTAGTGAATAGAATTGCCCATGTGGTGGGGCCCTAAAGGGCATTGTAGGGAGATGCCCATATGGTGAGTGCCCCAAAAAGATGTAGAAGAGAGATGCCCATGTGGTGGGCGGCCCAAAAGGGTGTATGACGGAGAGAGAACACTTGCTGAGTAGGTGAGGAGAGCTAGATGGTTAGTTAAGGTGGAGGAAAGAAGCAGTTAAAGAGGCAGACTCTAGGATCAAACTTGGTGGACAGGCAGATGTCTGAGTTTGAGACCAGGCTGGTCTACAGAGTAAGTTCTAGGATAGCCAGGACTACACAGAATAACCCTGTCTTGGGAAAACAAACAAACAAAAACAAACCTGATACATCTGCTTGGAAACTCAACAGCAAGATCCACAGTTTCATTTGGTGCTGTGGAATAGTCCTTCTGTGAAGATGTGTTGCTCTCATTGTTAATAAAAAGCTGATTGGCTGATAGCTAGGCAGAATTTTGAGGGCAGAGAGAATGCTGGGAAGGAGGGTGGAGTCAGAGAAGTCTTGAGCAAGATACAGAAGAAGCAACAGGGGAAGTTCATATATGAGGTAAACAAGCCTAGGGGCAACACAAAGATTAGTAAAAATGGGTTAATTTAAGTTGTAACAGCTGGCTGGAGATAAGCCTAAGCTATTGGCCAAACATTTGTAATTAATACTAAGTCTCTGTGTGGTTATTTGGGAGCTGGAGGTCCTGACCCCACCCCAAAAAAATACTTTACTTACACTTTGGTGCTCTTGTGTTATTAAACTCTTCCAGCTACCCACAGTTCCTTGGTGGTGAATCCTCACCAGTAACCACACCTTTTCAGTTTTCACTAAAGAACTCAAGATTTTTCAAACCAGGTCTGTAATCCAAGCACCCAGGAGGAGAGGCAAGAGGATCACCATGACCTTTGTAGCCCTGGCTAGCGTGGAACTTGCTATGTAGATCAGGCGGGCCTCCATATCACAGAGATCTACCTGCCCCTGTTTCCCACATGTTAGTGTCAAAGGCATGTGATACCTCACCCAGCTTCTGCCACATTATGTTAGTCAAAACCACAGAATCTGATCAGATTCAAGCACAATGGCTGGCTGAAATAGCATACAGTCTAGGAAGATCAGTAGACATGGTAGATGCCAACACCATGCTCCAAATAATGAGGGAGTCATCTGTATGACAGAAAAAACATCTGTTGAAAAAGAAATATCAGAGTGGGCTTCCCAAAGAACTGAGTTTCATCTTTTAAATTATGTCTTTTATTTTTTGAGATTATAATATAATCACATTATTTCTCCTGTCCATTCCCTCCCAAATTTCATCTTTTTTTGTAAGCAGAGTTTTAAAGACATATTTTTATTTTTATGTTTATAGTGTTTTGCCTCATGTGCATCATGTGGGTGGCAGGTGCCCTCAGAGGTCAGAAGACTCTGTTAGATCCCCTGAAACTGGAGTCACAGAGAGTTGTGAGCCTCCATGTGGGTTCTGGGAACCAAACTTGTGAGATAAAGCACCCAAAGAGTGAACTATCTTTCCAACTCCCAGACTTCTTTCTTTTTTTCCTTTCTTTCTTTCTTTCTTTCTTTCTTTCTTTCTTTCTTTCTTCCTTCCTTTTTTCTTTCTCTTCTCTCCTTTTCCTTTCTTCTTTCTTTCTAAATTACATTTGTTTGTTTGTTTGTGGTTTTTGAGACAGGATCTCACTGTGTAGGCTTTGACTATTCTGGAACTCACTCTGTAGACGAGGCTGGCCTCAAACTCACTGAGATCTGCCTGTCTCTGCCCTCTAAATGCTGGGATTAAAGGTGTGCACCTCCATACCTGACTTTTAATTACATTTTCACTGTGTGTGTGTGTGTGTGTGTGCATATATGTGTGGACACATGCACGCCACGGCACATAGATGAAACTCTCAGGACAATTTGTAGGTCAACTCTTCTGTTATATGGGTCATAGGGGTCAAGCCCAGGATGTCAGGCTTAGCTGCATGAGCCATCTCACAAGCTCAAGAACCGAGTTTTAAAGGGAGGAGAAAGATGCTGGTAATAAAGATATAGTTCTGAGGTAGAGTGTTTGCCTAACATTTATAAGATCCTGGGTTCAATCCTCAGCAAATAAATAAATGCAATCCCTTAGTTTAGGAGAACTTTCCAGACATGAGAAAAGAGGTGCTGAGAGCCTGGTATATTTTAGACACACTGAATTCTGGTGACTAGTGTGGAATGTGAGGAGGACAAATTCCTTAAAATTATTTTCATAATTTTTACCAAGTCAGGGATAAGGAAAAGTGATTGAAAACAAAACAAAACAAAACAAAAACCCCTCATTTCTTCTTATTGGTGATTTCCTTTTTTAGAGGTAAAACTGATTCGGTTTTGTGTCTCTTGTAGCCCAGGCTAGCCTTGAACTCTTTACATAACCCAAGATAATATGAATCCCTTATCCTCCTGCCTCCATCTTCCAAGTACTCATTATACCCCAAGGCTAATCTTGTTGTTGATTCTAAGAATTATGGGTTACCAGGCAGTGATGGCACATGCCTTTTATCCCAGCACATGGGAGGCAGAGGCATGAGGATCTCTGTGAGTTCAAGGCCAGCTTGATCTATAGAGCAAGTTCCAGGACAGCCAGGGCTGTTAAACAGAGAAACCCTGTCTCAAAAGATCAAAAAAGATAGAAAAGAATTATGGCTCCAAAGCTTCTCTTTCCATGTTCCCCATTTGCTCCTTATTTTGAAGTGTTTGTGTGTGTGTGTGTGTGTGTGTGTGTGTGTGTGTGTGTGTGTGTGTGTGGTTTATCTATTGGGTATGTAAGTAATATAGTCCATTTTTGAATCATGACACTAGGAATAGAAAAAGATGAGGTCCTAACTGTCCTGTGTGTGTACCAATACCCAAAGTACTATCTTTCAACAATATGAACAAGACTAGAAAATGGGCTGTGTATGACAAATATTAGTCAAATCTTTTCATACAGTTCTGTGAAGGCAACATGTTGAGTCTGACCCTAGTGTTGCTGGAGAAAAAGGCTTCTGTGGCAGCTAAGGGGTTAGACCCCCAACACATTAATGAGTGGCCTGCCCCATTACCCATGATAGGACCTCTGTCATACTCTGCAATGCCTTTGTGGAAACAAGAAGAGTGTGCGCCACATGGGCAGATCCTGCCCTCTGGGCAGTTTCAAGAGTTTGGAGAATAACTTCTGAATTGCAGCTGCCTCTTGTTCCCTGAGTTGGGCACCTTTACAACACATATAAACTGTGCAGCTCAATGTGCTGGCATGCCTCATTGTTAATGTTCCATTAATAAATTCAGAACAGAGCCTGTGGACACAGGCAGAGAGGCTATTTTCCATTTCTTCTCCCCACATCCTGTCTTTCTAATGTGTTTTGTTACTTACTGTTCAAACATTAAGCAAATCACTTTGCATCTTGAGCTTATTTCTCTGTCTGAAAGCTTCGAGGACTGTGGCTTCCCATTTGTCAGGAACAAGTTTGGCAAACAAACATAATGTTCTATCCATACCTTCATTATGATTTTTAATGCTTTTGTCATTGCACAGCACATTTTGAAGCCATAATCCTTAGGAGGAGGGGTGATGTTGCTAGCAATTCTGCTCCCTATCGGATAAACAATTTTTATTTCTCTTTATTATTTTGTTGACTATTCTCTGCAAGTTCTTAAATCCCATTCTCTGTGGGCATATATGTGTCCTTTCCTTAATGTGTCAAGGAGAGAAAGAACATATATCATTTCCTTTTCTTAATTCTTTGAATAAGTACATCCTAGGGCCAGAGAGATGGCTTAGAGGTTAACTGGCTTCTCTTCCAGAGAACTCAAGTTCAATTCCCAGAACCCACATGGCAGCTCACAACAGACTGTAACTCCAGTTCCAGGGATCCAATGTCCCATTCTGTCCTCTATGAGTACCAGACACACAAGGGGTGCACAGATATATGTTAAGGCAAACACCCATACATGTATGATATAATAAAATTTAAACGCATACTAAGATAATCTCATTTTGTTCGTACATATATTAAAACAATATCTATAGTTTTAACAATACTACACACTGTTTGTGAGGCTGAAGACAAAGTAATAACTAAATCAAAGCCCTTGCCCAATCAAATTATAGTGTTACAAAGCCCAGTCCCAATGGATATACTCTTACATCTAAGGCTCAGGGAACATTGTAGACGAGTCAGAGGATCAGGAATTTGCTGTGAGTCTGTGTCTCCTAGGAATGTCTGAAGCTACACCCATAAAGTATCACCACATGACTGCCTAAACATCAGCTGAACCAAGACAACAATTATAGACATTCCTACGTGGATGGGGAGCCCACAAGGCCTCAACCCCACACAAGGAGCTACAGGCGACTAAGGAATGCTGAGAGTGGGCAAAATGGAGAAGAGTACGCCAATTGATTATCCAATACCAAATGGTCAGCCCTGAAAATGTACATGTAACATCATACGAACTGAGCAGGTTATACTTAGAAATATATGTGTATATACATATATGCATGAAAAAAGAAGCCACGGGTTAGGGAAAAAGCAAGGAGGAAGGAAGGGGGAAGTGAGAAATGATGTGATTATATCATAATCTCAACAATAAAAGAGAAAATCTTTCAGTATCGGGGTCCATGTTATTTTGTTGTTCCTACGGTGCTGGGGACAGAACCTTAAGCATCCTAAGCAAGTGGTCTCCCACCAGCTACACACACAGTTTTTATTTTGAAGTGGTTCTTGAGGAGATCACGAAAGTCTATAAGGTTTCCTTTCAACTATTCCCTGAGTTTTCTTGGGATTTGTCTTCTTCTGCCATTTACTTTTCCCTTTCCTGTCTGCAGCTGTGTTCCTGTTCCCATCAACTCCCATGCCAGTTGCCAAGAAACCTCTCCTGGGAGCTCAGCGTCATCCTCATCCACACCCAGGTGAAATTGTTGGCCATCTCCACGCAGTGTTACAGATATTGCTACCTCCTCACCCTTGGTGAGTCCTCTGTAGTTCTGGATGAACTCTTGAGTGTCTTATTCCAGATACCATGCATTCATACCTCGGTGACATCACCTAACCACAGACAAGGTTCCGGATACAGTCATAGATGTCACAATGTTTCCAGAATTGCATCAGTGTCTTTTCAGCATCCTCCTCCATTGCAGCAATAACCTGGGCAAGGGTCCTCTCCTTGAGCCACAGGGCTTTCTAACCATAACTCCTTGATCTCATGGTTAGATCAAATAGGTAGGTTGGGTGGAGAAACAGCAGCTTGGTGCTGGAATGAACATCACTCATAGAAGAATTTATTAGAATATTCTCAATAAGCAAAAATGTGTGTGTGTGTGTGTGTGTGTGTGAGAGAGAGAGAGAGAGAGAGAGAGAGAGAGAGAGAGAGAGAGAGAGAGAGAGAGAGAGAGGAGGGAATGGAATGCAGGGTCTCATAACTGCTAACCCAATACTGATCAGCTAATTCTCCAGCCCTCTTGTTTGAGGTAGGATCTTGTGTAGCTGAGGATGACCTTGAACTCCTATTGGTCCAATCTCTACTTCCCAAAGTGTATAACATGACAACTGGTTTGGTTTTTGTTGTTGCTGTTTTGTTTTGTAAGGCAAAGGAAGCAGAGTTTCCTGAGGTAGAGAAGCAGCTCCCTGAGGCCAGAGAGTCCCACAGGGAGCAGACCTAAAAGTGGTTTGCCCCAGACTCCTTATTTTTAGACAGGCTTTCAGTTCCTTGGCCAGACTATCCTTGAACTCACTCTCATAGCACAGGCAGAGCTTGTGATCCTCCTGCCTCTGCTGTTGAGTAGCTAGGACCACAGGGATGCTCCAACAAACCCAACTAATAATAAAGCTCTTGAAATGTGTAGTTTTAACAACAGTCCTCATTCTTGCTAGCATAGCAATCCAGAACATCTCAGAAAATCTGGGCCAAGATTTCTTGTGGCTACTGAAGTACATGGGCATTATGTACTTACCGATATGCTTGGAGACCCTGGAGTTATCTCTAACCAGATCACCAAGACTTTCAATTTGTAACTGCAACACTGCTCCCAAGCAAGACTGTAGTGCCATCCTTAAAAGGCTTGCTACTTAGAACTGATCTGTTTGTCTCCAGAATGGGAATGCTTCCCTATGCTTAAGATTTGCTCTGGCGGGTGATTTTTTTTTTCTTCCATAGTCAGCTCATGTGGAGTGCCCCCAAAATGATCCTGCAGTCTTCACAATACCCTTTAAGACTCACCGTTTGTATTCCTTTTTGTTATTTTGTTTTTGTTGTTTATTGGCTTTTGAGGGAACAAGAGCTTGTACTTTATCCCAGTGCCTAGAACTTACTTTGTAGGCAAAAATTTGTCTTTTACCTCAGCCTCATGAGTACTGAGGCTGTTGGTATGAACCAAAACACTTCACTTAGGTTGTTTTGTTTTGAGACAGGGTCTCATACAAGCCCAGAAAAGGCCTCAAATTCACTGTATGGCTGGGATGACCTTGATGCCTTCTAAGTGCCACATTGGACACCTGTTTTCAAGGCAGAGTCCCAATGTGCTTCCCAGGCTGGCCTCCAACCTCTGAGCTCAAGTGATCCCCTCTCCTCAGCCTCCTGAGGAGGAGAAAACTATAGGTTCCCATGGCATCTTGTCCTGTTCTCTGTTGCCTCCCATCTCCCTCCCTTTCTTGGCAGAATTTGATCATGCTAGACAAGTAATTTGTCACTGAGCTACTTTCTTAGCAAAAATAATAATGATGATGATTCCTGAATCTTCTCAGCTACCCAAAGATAGCAGTGAATCCAATATCACTGGCAGGCTGGGCTTTTCTTTCAACATTTCAGGCTTCTTGCTTTGATTGTGTTGGGGAGCAAAGGAACCCCTGAGTGAGTATGACGTTGATATGGGCACTTCGATGTCAAGGATACTAAGGCTTTGAAGCCATCGGAAATAGACAAAGCGGTTTCCCTACATGGGCAAGGCTCCTGAGGGATGGCAACACTTTCCTCCCAGGTTCCAGTAGGAAAGAGTGACCACTGTGTACAAAAACTAGAAACTGCAGCTTCCTTTTCCCTGGTGTTTCCAGCCCGAAACAGCTCACCTATGGAACCTATGGAGCCCTCCTACCAAGATCAGCTGCTGCTACCCTGAGTGTGCTGAGGTTCTGGGTGGTTTGTGATAGTACACAGCCTCCATCAGCAGTAGCAGATGCCAACCTGATCCCAGCATTCCTGTGTATATGTGTATGTGTGTCTGTCCTTCATTCCCTCACCACCCCTAGAGCCAGCATTCCACAACCCAACCCAGTCACAGCAGTTGTGATTTTGGAGTTAAAGGGGATTAATTTATGTGGCTGGACATCAATATCTGTCATTAAGAGTATTCCCAATTTTGGTCTGGTGGCATACACATGTAATTCCAGCCTTTCTGGAGGATGAAGCAGGAGGACTGACAATTCAAAGCCTGCCTGGCTTACATAACAAGTTATGGTCAGCTTGGGCAACTATTTTGAGAACCTGTCTCAAGATAAATATTATTTTATTTTCAAGTCAGTCAGGGTTTCTTTGTGTAGTCTTGGCTATCCTGGAACTCACTCTGTAGACCAGGCTAGCCTGCAACTCAGAGATCCGCCTGTTTCTATCTCCTGGGATCAGGGCTCAACTACCACCACCTTGATAAAATAAACATAATTCTAAAAGTCTAGGGATGTAGCTCAATGGTGGAGTGCTTGCCCAGCATGCGGAAGACCCTAGGTTTAACCCCTAGTTCTGCAAAGAAGCAACAACTTTCTATAGGGCTTTCTTGTTGTTGCTGTTACATCTTGTTGCCTTCAGTGAAACAGACCTTTAATTGATCCCACCCCTTAGTTCCTCTCCAAGATCACAGCTGTCCTGGCAGCTGTGCCGGAACAGGACTGACTTGATTTGTGAGCAATCTCTGTCTGACTTTTCCACCTTTGCAGCCCTTCGTAATTTTTTAAATGGAAGCCTTGCTATGTTTCCTAGGCTGGCCAGGATTTCCTAAGCCTCAGCAGTTCTTCTGACTCAGCTTTCCTAATAGCTAGAACTAAAGGTGTGTGTCATTTGTGCATGCCCAGCTTCTTAATCAGTGTAAACTCATTCCTAGGTCAGTCAAATGATGGTTGGTAACATTTGGGGTGGGTTTGGTGTGCTCAGGGGTCACTATGAACCCAAACAACAGGAGATTAAGTCAAGAGCGAGAGAAAGTTATGAAATCAAAAGATGTGGTAATCATGAAATCATGAGCTGTATGAGGGCTTCAGATGGTGTGGCACAACCCATCAGTCTTGTATGTGTGTGTGTACTATGGTTGATGTGGAGGTCAGAGAACAACCTGTGGGAGCTGATTTTCTCTTTCTACCACATGGGCTCTGGGGATCAGTTTTGGTGGCAGGCACCTTACCAGCTGAACCATATCACAGGCCCACCTGTTTTGAATAAGAGATCCCAGGTCTGGTAGAGATACACTCCGAGAGAGATTTGAGGTAAGTCCTTAGTAAAGCTGGCCACATGGAGGAAGCTGGGATAGGAGAGCCAACCGCAAGCCATCTTTAGAACAAGAACATTCTTTGTATTTACAGACTTTATAGGGTAGTGGTCTCTGAACTTAGAGGTGCTGTAGAATATTCTTTTACACTGTGAGGATGTGTGATTGGTTTAGTAAAAAGCTAACTGAGCAACAGCTAGGCAGGAGGGGTAGCAGAGACTTCTGGACAGAGAACCCTCTGGGAAGAAGAAAATGGGGTCTCCAGGCAGACTGGGAGGAAACAGAATGGATGAAATGGAGATGAGGTAACAAGCACATGGAAGAATGTAGATTGAAAAATGTGGGTTAATTTAAGTTATAAGAGCTAGTTAGAAATAAGCCTAAACTAAGGCTGAGCTTTCACAACCAATAATAAGTCCATGTCATGTTTTGTGAGCTGGAGGCCCTAGAAAAGGTCCGTCTACATAAAGGAGTTAAGATCTCTAAGTTTAGCAGATTAGTAATGGAAGTTTAGGTGGGATATAAGGCACTAATTTAGGGAGTTAATCCTATTGTTCCAACCCTACTAACGGCTATTACACTTTGGAAGTTTAGCACTTTGGGGCAGGTACTAGGCAGGCTATAAGGCGTGGGTGATCCTTAGATGGGGCAGCTTCTGTGATTCAACACTGACAAGATCAGCAAAACTTCCTTTTGTAAATACAAATATACTCTTTATTTCTTTCTTCCTTTCTTTCTTTCTTGTTTTCTTTTTGATTTTTGAGATAAGGTTTCTCTGTGTTGCTCTGGATATCCTGAAACTCACTCTGTAGACCAGACTGGTCTTGAACTCTGAGAAAGCCACCTGCCTCTGCCTCCTGAGTGCAGGGTTAAAGGCATGTGTTACCACCACCTGACAGTATTTTCTAAAATAACCAGAAAAAGAAAGATATAATAAATATATAGACTCACCCATGACATAGCTGTTTGTCTTGAAGTACCATGTAGTGTGCATAGCCCTGCACTATACAAGAGGACAGGCAGCACAGTAAGTGTGTTTACACTAGGATTATCACAAATACAGCCTTTATATGTTGTGCTATGACCTTTCAATGGCTGTGACATCATGGAGGCGAAAGGAACTTTCAACCTGTTTTGTTCTTGTGGGATCATCATGGAATATGCAGTTTATTGCAATATCAATAACCACTTAATTTTTTCAAGAAAAGTTTTTTTTTTTTTTTTTTTTTTTTTTAGAGGGAGAGAGGGTTTCTCTGCATTGCTTTGGAGTCTGTTCTGGAACTACTAGCTCTGTAGACCAGGCTGGCCTTGAACTCACAGAGATCTGCCTGCCTCTGACTCCCAAGTGCTGGGATTAAAGGCGTGCATCACCACCACCTGGCTGAAGAGGCACTCTGAAAAGCTGTATATTTGAAGTAAAATAAGAGATTGTTGCCGGGCAGTAATGACTTTAAGGCCAGCCTGGACTACAGAGAGAGTTTCAGGATAGCCAAGGCTATACAGAGAAACCCTGTCTCTCAAAAGTGTATGTGTCTGATATGTGAATGCTGGTTTGTGCATGTCGCATGGAACCTGCAGAAGCCAGAGGACAAGTTTCAGTAGTCCATTCTTGCTTTCCACTGGTCCAGGCAGGTTCCTCCTTGTTTCTGTTGCTATGTTGCATACTCCAGCTTCCTTGAAGTTGCCCTGTCTCTGTCGCCCATCTCACTGTAGGAGTGCTGGGATTATAACATCACTGAATCTCTGTATCTGGCTTTTATGTGGATTCCAGAGACAGAACTCAGGTTCAGGCTTGTGAAGCTAGCACTTTCTCAATATTGCCCTTCCTTCCTCTTTCTGAGACTGGGTATCCTTATGTAACCCAGGCAATTGAATTCATGGTAGTCCTGTATATCAGGAATTTAGACTACACCTGGCTCACGTTTCCTTTTCCTTTTTCTATAGGTGCTGTTGCAAAAACATCCTCTGGCGATTTACAAGTAACTAACACCTCTCTTGAACTTCCTGCCAGATGAGAGAGTGACTAATGTTTCAGTACTGTTCTCTAATGGAAATGGTAGTAGGCTCAAAGAAACACACAACAATTGTTTTCTCACCAGACACACAGGCCTAAAATTGTACCTTTATGAAGAAGTGAGTATATATTAATAGATAATATATATGGCATATTACATACATGTAATGAACTTGTAGGAATAAGGTAAGAAAAACAGAATAAAGACAAAGAGTGCTGGATGTAGGGGCACACATCTGTAATCCCAGCATTTGGGAGGCTAAAAGGTAATGTGGAATTCCAGGCCAACCTGGGCTACTTAGTGAGACTTAGTGTCTTTTGGTGGGGAGGAGTTATTGACAAAAGGTTCTCTTGTAGCCCACTCTGGCCTGGAATTTATTATGTATCAGAAGGTGATCTTGAACCCCTGGCCATCCATTTACACCTTCCAAGTGCCAGAATAACAGGCATTTGTCGCCATGTCCAGCTCTTGGTTGTTTTTGTTTATTTGTTTGGGGGGGGGATGTTTGTTTTGGTTTTTTGTTTTTGTTTTTGGTTTTATGAGACAGGGTTTCTCTGTAGCTTTGGAGCCTGTCCTGGAACTCAATCTTCTTCTTCTTCTTCTTCTTCTTCTTCTTCTTCTTCTTCTTCTTCTTCTTCTTCTTCTTCTTCTTCTCCTTCTTCTTCTTCTTCTCCTTCTTCTTTTTCTTCTTCTTTTCCTTTTGTGTTTATTTTATAAAACAGTATCCTGTGTTTTGTCACTAATAAATTTCCTTGATAATTATGATTACAGAAGATTTTTATGATGATGAAAATTTTAAGAAAGGTAGTCCTAAGATTTTATTTAAGCATATATGGGGCTCTCACTTCCTGACATTTCATTACATGAAAAACATTTTTCCCCTTCCAAAGTCAAGATATTATCACTCTCAGCCCACCTGCATTTTCTTGTGATAGATTCCTTCGTCATCCAGTGAGAGATCAGAGATATCCCTCTATGGAAAGTGAGACAGTGTTGGTAAGGAGATTAAACAGCTCTACTTCCCAGTAATACTATCAAGTCCACCCAGAGCTGGCTGCTCATATCTGGGACAAGATGTTTCTTGAGAAATTTCTGTATCTCCTTCCAAGAATGCTCCTTGTATGACTGCATATAGGACATCTCCCCCATATGATGCTTGGGATCACATAGGGGATCCTTGAAGCAGAGCACAGGGGCAAAGGGAGGCTCAATGAGGTAACCTGCCCCAGGGTAAGACAGCAGAGTCCAATTCTTCCCGCTTTTTATCAGCAGTGCTGTGGCTTGATGAGCATGCATTTTGCTGTTGAGATTCTTATCATCTTCTCCAATGATGAAAAGGAAATATCTCTGAGCTTTTTCAATGGGAAAACAATATTTGCTATCCTTATCTGCAGTTTCCTTATAAGCTCAACAAAACTCTGCAAGTCCTAAGGCATTGGTGGTTACAAATTCTATATTGCATGGTATGGGCTGGTTGACCTGACCATGTGGATCACTAGTAACAAAATTAGGCCCATTGATAAGTACAGTGGCTTTTATTTGTTTAGGTTAATAGCCATAGAGTTTTGTTTTTTGAGACAGAGTTTCTCTACGGAAGATCCCTGGCTGTCCTGAAACTCACTCTGTAGACCAGGCCAGCCTCAAATTCACAGAGATCTTCCTGTCTCTGACTCTCAAATGCTGGGATTAAAGGTGTGTGCACCACCCCCTGGCTGGTTCCGTTTTTAAAACAAACAGGTCAGAAGCCAGGTGTGGTCTGTATACCTTTAATCCTAGCACTTAGGAGGCAGAGGCAAGTAGAGCTCTGTAAGTTCAAACCAGCCTAGTCTACATCGGGAGCTCCAGGACAGACAGAGCTACATAGTCTACATAGTGAGACCCATCTTTCCCCCAGCTCCCCCACCCCCCACCAAAAAAAATTGAATACTGGAATTTTTTTTGAGGCAGGGGCTAGCCTTGAACTCAGCAGCCTCCTGCCTTGGCCCTCTGAGTACTTGAATTATAGGCATTCATCAACTCCCCCACCTTTTGTTGTTGTTGTTGGGTTTGGTTTTGGTTTTTCAAGACAGGGTCTCTCTCTCTGTGTAGCTCAGGCTGTCTGTAGACCAGGCTGGCCTTGAACTCATGGAGATCTGCATGCCTCTGCCTACTAAGTGCTGGGATTAAAGGTGTTTGCTGCCTTCACCACTACCACCAGACTAAGACCCCCTGCTTTCAACATAGAATTTGAGTGCACTTTGAGGTAGTGATGTTGTAGAATTTGGATGTAAAGTAAAAGTGTTTGGAATTTACCCGTTAAACATGGCAGTATCTCTCAAAATCCCTTCTGACCCTCACTCAAATGACATCATCAGTCAGACTTCCCTAAAAACTGCAGGGGATGGGTGGCTCAATGGCTCTCCTGTTTATTTGTTGTTCTAGATGGACCTGGCTCTATCAGGCACAAGCGGGTTTTACAAATCAGTTGTGCTGGCATAGGGCCTGACAATAAGAATAATAATAAGTCAGTAAATGGTGAATAAAAACCGGTCAAAGTCAACCTCCCGCCTTCTTGTTGAAGGAATGACCATGGAAGAACACCCTCATGTTTCTTCTTTTCTAGCATTTGTTCATTCAACCAAGGAGAAGAATCTACCTTAGGCAACATGCCAGGCCTACACAAGGAAGGGACAGATAACTCAGCTTGATCCTCCTGACAGAAAGGCACAGGGACTGAGAACTCAGAGGAGACTAACCCAGAGGGTCAGAAAAGCTTCCCGAGGGAAGCAAATTAAATCCAGGAAGGACTTGTGGGGATAATAATTAGCCCAATGAGGGGTAGAAGTTCAGAAGTAGGGTCTATCTGTGGAAATCCCAGCCAGTGGGAACAGTCTTTGAGACAACTAAAGCACTTTGGCCATTTTGGAGTTTAGAATGTATGAAAGAGGGGAAGTACTGCTAATGAAATAGCAGTGTGTTTGTTAGTTATGTTCCCAAGACATGGCTTCCCTGTGTAGTCCTGGCTGTCCTAGAACTCACTCTGTAGACCAGGATGGCCTTGACCTTTGAGGTCAGAGATCTGCCTGCCTCTGCATCCCGTGTTGGGATTAAAGGCGGAATTAAGGGAGTGCACCACCACCAAGGAGATAGGCTGTAGGCAGTACTGAGGAGCCACTGTAAATCTTAAATGCAACTATAATGGCATTAAAAAACAAAAACAAAACAAAAATCCTCAACCATTCAAAGGGTGGGATGGGGTGCAATGGTGAATGCAGGGAGCCTGAGAATCAGCTGCAAAAGTTAGTTTGAGAGGTGTTGAGGTGGCTCAGATTGGGGTGGTGGGACTGGGAAGAAATGGATCAATCTAAGAATCTGTTGGCCGTGTGATGATGGGAGGATAGAAGAGATTGGAAAGGGCGTGCCATTAATGCGTGTGGACTTTATTCTGAAAGGATAAAGGAGACGCTATTTAAACACCTCAGCTATCTGCCAGATCCATTCAGGTGCGAGCATATAAACATCACTTCGCAGACAGGGTGAACAGTCTCTGAGGACGCTGCGCAGGTAAGGGACCAGCCTCACGCCGCGAGCGTGCAGGGTGCAGCCGGGATACAGATGGGGTGCCAGAGACTGACAAGCGCACAGTCAGCACCTTAACCTCGGAGCCACGCCGGGGGCGGGGCGCAAGGGGGTCCGGGGCGGGGCCAGAACACGCACGGCGGCGTGACGTAGGCCCGGCCGGCCTCGTTCTGGCTGCCGCCGCCGCGCTTAGGCGGAGTAGGATGAGGCCCCAGGCCGCGGCTCCAGCGTCGGCAGGGGCAACAGCAGCTGAGGCAGCAGCTGAGGCAGCCGCGACGGCCGCGCCCCCCCCCTCCTGACCTGGATTAGGGCCCAGCAGCCCCGTGGCCGCCGCCGCCTCGCGGGGGGCGGGGTGGGGGAAGCGCTCCGTCTCCCCGCCCCCGCCCCCCTCAGGCTCCCGGCGCGACCCCGGCGCAGCCCGCGGCCTAGCCTCGCGCCCCCTGCCCCGGGGGCTGGCATGAGTGGCCCCTCGGCGGCGCCGGGGCGCGGGGGAGCCGCCGCCTGAGCCCCGGGCCTGCCGCCTTGGACCCCGCGGCGCCGGGCGAGCTCACCGCCGAGTGTGCGAGAGACCGGGTCACAGCTTTCTTCCTCCCCCAGATCTCACGCACACACCTCAGCCCTGGAAGATGGGGAACTGCCTCAAATCCCCGACCTCGGATGACATCTCCCTGCTTCACGAGTCTCAGTCCGACCGGGCTAGCTTTGGCGAGGGGACGGAGCCAGATCAGGAGCCGCCGCCGCCATATCAGGTAGGGGAGGGTGTGTGTTGGCGTAAGAGGGGAGGCGGCTCAGGCCCTCTGCCCTTGGCCTCCAAGGCCTAGCCTGGGGGGGGGGGGGCGTTGACCCCTTCGGGGCTGGCCTTGAGGGTGTCTGCTGCCCAGTCCCCCAGTAGAGAACGATCCTTCTTGCCTTCCCCTTGGGCACCGTTTGGGGATGGTGTTCTGCCCTTGAGTTCAGGAATCAAAGTATGTGATCATATCCCCTTGGCCGGTGTCTGATAGTTAGCTTGTGGAGTTAAGGATGACATGGTTTTCCTGCCTTTATGTCTGAATTGTGTGATTTCCTCAACAGACTACCAACAGGATTATGGGTTGTGGGTAGGTTGTCACCCCCCCCCCCTTTATAATTGTGTATATAATCCTCCCCACTCCCACCCTATCTTTGTTAATTGGTTCTTTTTACCATCTGCTTGGGAGGTAGGATTCCAAGTGGGGATTTTAGCCTCAGCTTCCTAAAGAATTAACTTGTTTATATATACATATGTGGTAATTTTTAAGCTCCAGTTTTTGCTCCACCCTGTGACACACCTTTTAAATAAGTTGACTTAATAAAACCTTGATTATCTTGAACTCTAGAGACCTTTCTGCATGACTTGGAAAATGCCATCTGTTACTTAAGGCCTTCTCTTTATCAAGAGACTCTTGAATGGCTCTTTCTAAACGATACTGAGTAAACTCCCAGGTGGACTTAAATACAATTCTTCAGTATTTTCCTGGAGAGAGGTTGCTTTTCTAACGGGGCAGTCTCCTTTGTTTTTTATGTGGTGACATCATTATCTAGTTTAGTGTTTTCCTTTCTCAATTCTATGTAAACCAGTTTCTCATCATGTGATCACATATGCTGCTGTTCTGACCCCTTCAGTGGTCTTTCATCAGTCTTCATTGTAGCCTTGCAAAAGCCTCTATTTCGAGCTTACCAAACCAGGCTGTTGACAAGTTCCTCTTAGCTCCAGGTGATCTTGCTGCTAAAAGCTTTTGCCCCAAGGTTGCCCAGGTGAACGTCTAATCCTCTTTAAGGACTCAGCTCACTATCTAAAGTCCTGACATTCTCTCCCTGAATTCCTGGACATGTCCCTCACCAACTTTACACACTTTTATAAGCAATACTGTGCCTATAATAATTCAGGCAGTTGTGTGCTCATCCTTGAAATATGTGCTCCCCCCCCCTTGTATAAGCTGAATTTGGGACATTTTCCAGGTGCTTTTATACTCCAGCATCTGACTCATAGTAGATCCTCAATAACTGAGATAAATGAAGAATAGAAGCTCTGTTTTCAGTGGTTCATGCATTATCTGTCACATAAAAATGCAATATTTACTGTATTTATGTACCCCGTTTTTCCCAACTTGTTTAAATTGTTCCAGGAGCAGAGTCTAATACTAAATGGAATCTGGATGTTTTATCGGTAGCAGGAATTGAACTGAGAGCCTTGTACATGCTAGCAAAACACAAATACAGAGCTATAATTCCCGTACACCCCCCCCTTTTTATTAAACTGTTTCATGAAGTCACTCAGACAGGCCTTGAACTTTCTGTCCTACTGCCTCAGCCTCCAGAGTTGCTAGAATTGGAGACCTATACCACCAGGCCTTCCTCTCAGGTATCTGTAGCTTACTGTTTCCCCCTCTACCATAGCTACTCAACAGATGTATTTATTGAGGTGTCATGAGCAAACTCCCCCCTTATCTATAATTTATAGCCTCTTTCTAGGAAAATTGAATTATCTGACTTGTTTTCTGTTATCCTTATCATTTTTAGAGTTTATAGGAACTCTATTTTGTCCTTTATAGAGGAACTAAATAGAGCATGATGGGTTTTAGTATTGCCAGTAGATTTTTTTGGAATGTGTTATTTTTGACAGTGAAATTGTATTGTGGTTGCCTTTTCCTGATATGAATGAATGACCTGGATACCGATATGCAAAGTGAGTATGAATTGAAAGAGTGATTACTTTAAAAGATGAGAACATAAAAAGAAAATTTTAGTCTGGCATGGTAGCTCATGCCTATCATCCTAGTGCTTAGAAGGAAGGCTGGGGTGGGAGGATTGCTGGTCTGGGCTGTGGAATAAAACCTTATCTCAAGAATTTTTAAAAGAAAGCTATAGAAATAATAATGTGTTCTTTACATATAGGCTTTTTAAAAAAAAAAAGGAATAATGTATAATTAACATAATAGGCACAGTAATGTTGACCTTTTTTTTTTTTTTTTTTTTTTTTTTTTTTTTTGGTTTGTCCAGACAGGGTTTCTCTGTGGCTTTGGAGGCTGTCCTGGAACTAGCTCTTGAACTCACAGAGATTCCACCTGCCTCTGCCTCCCAAGTCCTGGAACTAAAGATGTGCCCAACTACCATCCAGTGACTTGTTTCTTTAAAGATTAGACTCAGGCTAGACATGGTGGCATACACCTTTAGAGTAAGAGGCAGGGCAGAAGTATTTGATCTTGAGTTCCAGGCCAGCCTGGTTGAAATACCAAATTCAGGCCAGCCAGGGATAAATAGTGAAACTGTCTCCTCTGTCTGAGACTTAAGCTCCTGACTCGGTCTCCTGAGTATTTTGAGATTACAGATCTGAGCATCATACCAGGTTCTGGTTTCTTTACTAGCATCCTATCTGGTCCAGGTTTCACCCTTCTCTATACCATGTTCTCAACATAACAGCTAGAGTAATGGGACCACAGTACTCTCTCCTAAGCTCCTCAGTGGATCCATGTTTAATTTTACAATGATTAATTTTACAAAAATTCTTACAATGTTCCCTAAATCCTATTCCAGCTCTCCCCCTGGCCTTCTGGACTGTTATTAAGATAGTCTAGGTCTCAGACCTTTGTCCTGTTTATTTTCTGACTGGATTACTCCCTAGGCTTCACCATGAATGCATGACTGATTCCTTTACCTCCTTCAAGTTTTTTTGTTTTTGATGGTGGGAGAAATTTTGGGTGAGGGACTATACTGGAGGTCAAACACAGGGTCTCACACATGGTAGGCAAACACTGTGCTCTATTCCTGAAACTTTTTAAAAGGCAGAGTCACTTGTAGCCTAGGCTGGCCTCTAAGTGGCTATATAGCCAAGGATGACCTTAAAGTCCTGATAATCACATGGTAACACACTTATAATCCCTGGTGAGACTGGAAGGTTAGTTAAGGGCAGTCTAGGCTGCCTGACATTCTTGTCTTTAGGAAAAAAATAAGTAAACAAACCTAAAAAGCCAAAGGCCAACATTAAATATAAGAATTGGTTTAAAACAATTATTGATTAAAATGATTTCACATTTTTGTCCTACATATTTATTACCTGCCACAAAGTAAACATTTTATGGAAGAATGCTTGAAATCTCTATTCATAAAGTATTAGTGGAGGAGTATTTGAGGATGACACTCTGTTGAGGAGCTTATGTGGATTGGTGTGTCTCAATTTTACAGTATTTATAGATCGTCCTGACTTGTGTTGGTTCATCCTACAGTTTTGATGGTGTAAAAGTAACACATGATAGTCTATACTTTGAATTTTTTTCCCTAGACTAATGAGATATTTTATACTCTCAGGAGATTTTTGGTTTTGTTTGTATGTTTTTTCGACTTACTATGTAGATTTATCAGGGTTAACTCCACTATAGATCAAGGAATATCTTTAGTTTGAAATGGATTGTTTTAGAGACAGGGAGGGTCTCATAGTGTGTAGTCCAAGCTGGCCTTGAACTTCAGACAGTCTTGCCTCACCCTCCTAGGTGCTAGGATTTCAAGTGAGAGCCATCATGTCTATCTAAATTTGAGATTTGCCAGTCATCTCTTGTTCTATACTTTTGGTTGTAGTGATAGACAGGATCTGATACCATGGCTTATGCTAGCCCTAACTCCCAAAGTCCTACTTGCCTCAAGTATAGATAGCTAAGGTTTTCTTTTGGGAGTATGGTTGTGTGTGCATTTGTTTGGAGGCTGGATGACAACCTTAGCTATCATTGCTCAAATGCTGTCACCTAGATTTTTCTTGAGATAGGGTTTCTCATTGATTTGGTGCAAGGTTGATTGGTTGGGGAGCACCATGGATCCATATGCCTCCAGCTATCCAGCTCTACCAAAGTCAGCTTTTTTGCATAGATCGTGGAGACCAAAGTCAGGTCATCCTGCTTACAGCAAGCACTTTACCATCTTTCCTTTAGTTTTAGACTCATGGACCTGTTTTCAAATTCTGACTCTAGTGCATACTTGTAAAATATGAAAAAAGAACACAAGAAAACATTCATATTATTTTATAATG